AACAATCATATTTGTTAAAAAATGTTACATTTGTTTAAAATAAAGAATGCGTTGCTGTTGTTAAAAATCTGGCAAAATATAAAATTTTGGATTCTTCCTTTTGATTCAAAAAGAATCAGAGTGCACTGGATAAATTCATGCTGGATCCTAATATTTACTTTTTCTCTCACAGTGAAACGAGTGGCTTTCTCAGCTTCCTTGTTGACCTCTGGTTCAATAACGATTGGTCCATTTAACTCACACACACCTCTGGTTTTCAAAAACGTTGTCTCAAACATCGGAAATGCCTACAACCCAAACACAGGTACCTCGGTGTGCATTATTATTATTATTATTATTATTATTATTATTATTATTATTATTATTATTATGTATTTCAGGGGTTTTCACAGCTCCAGTGAGAGGAGCCTACCACTTTGAGTTGTATATCTATGGACCTGGACATGCTTCACATTCTACAGGTGCTGTGTTGACCAAGAATGGAGAACATATTGTTATGTCATATGAACATCAGCCTTCTCACTATGCTAAATCTGCTAATGGTGTCACATTGCTGTTAGAGGTTGGAGATCTCATATTTTTGCGTCAGTGGAAAAACTCAGTGATTTTTGATAACGAGAATCATCACAATACCTTCAGTGGTCACCTGCTTTTCCGCATGTGATCAGCAAGCTGTGCTGATTTTCACCATCAACTCTACAACATGTCAGAACTGACACAGAGCTACAGTGGTGTGAGAAAGTATTTGCTTTCGCCCTGATTTTATATTTTTTGCATGTTTGTTATACTTCATAATATCAAATCAATTTAAATACTAAATTAACTAAACACAAAATGCAGTTTTGAAACGATGATGTTTATTCTTACGGCAGAAAATAATCCAAACCCACCTCCTCCTGTGTGACAAAGTGATTGCCCTGATTACTGCCACACCTATTCTCAATTAAAACATCACATAAGACCTTCCTGGAAAATCAAAGTACACAAACGGTTCCTCAAAAAGTAGACATCAGGCTGAGATCCAACAAAATTCAGGAACAAATGAGAAAAAAAACTTACTAAGATCTGCCAGCTTGGAAATGGTTACAAAGCTCAAGGATTTATGATAACCAAAATCACCATGATACCTTCAGTGATCGTCTTTTGTTGCCCTGTGAGCAACAAACAGTCCAAATTCTTATCAGTTTCAGTATCACATAAATATACATTTCTTTGCTTCTTAGACGTTACATTTCCTTGCATGTAAAAACTAAGCAGGTCAAGCAAAATATAATTTCAGTAGATTTAAATCAATTCAAGAGTGAGCTATTGGATATGTTGTCTTTGTGGTTTATATCCATGTATTGTTTTGTAAAGTTCTCACTGAATGAGCATTTTGATGAATAACTGAATAAAAATGTTCTATATAAATAAGGTTTTTTTTTTATTGAATCATCACTCAATGATGTAAACTTACATTTTCAACATTTTAATTTAGAAATATTGTCATATTAGTTAAATCTTTATGTCTCAGTGACACAAGCTGAGACCTTTGTGCTATGAGCGACGTAGTGTCTGAACACACAAAACACATTCAGTTCAAAAGAGAAGTTCATCCATGGATCCCAGAGGAACGAGGAGACAATACAGCTAAACAACACGTCAACATGGAACATGTGAATGTCACCATATGTTTATGTTGGAAAATATGTGTATAAAACGAGACGCTGCCCATCGATTGGGAGGAACTTTATTAACTTTGTCCCTTTGATCAGTCTCTGAATTTTGACTTACATTAGTATCTAAATTTTGGGATTGCTTAACATGTAAATGTGTTTGGATTGCTTAATAAATTTACTTATTTAAACATGTCTTACAGTTGTCACTTATGCATCCAATAGAGTCGTATTACAGAAATACTTCAGCTTCGTCTTTACTTATGGAGATTAAAAATCTGCCAACATTTCTGTTTGCTCTTTTGTTTGTGTGATCAATCATTAACAGCTTTACTTTCTCAGCACTGCTAATAAACATGGATCTATCTCTGTATTCTCTTTGTTGAACTTTATGAGGTGACCCACATTCCAGTGATGATAGTAATCAAAATTTTATTTGTTCTTTTGTATAATAAATCATTAACAGTTTTGGCTTCCCAGCAATAAACTTGGAACTGTGTCT